CAGAATAAGTCCTCAAAAAGATTACTCTAAAACAGAATAAGTCCTCGAAACAGAATAAGTCCTCAAAAAGATTACTCTAAAACAGAATAAGTCCTCAAAAAGATTACTCTAAAACAGAATAAGTCCTCAAAAAGATTACTCTAAAACAGAATAAGTTCTCAAAAAGATTACTTTGAAACAGAATAAGTCATCAAAAAGATTACTCTAAAACAGAATAAGTCCTCAAAAAGATTACTCTAAAACAGAATAAGTCCTCGAAACAGAATAAGTCCTCAAAAAGATTACTCTAAAACAGAATAAGTCCTCGAAACAGAATAAGTCCTCAAAAAGATTACTCTAAAACAGAATAAGTCCTCAAAAATATTACTCTGAAACAGAATAAGTCCTCAAAAAGATTACTCTAAAACAGAATAAGTTCTCAAAAAGATTACTTTGAAACAGAATAAGTCATCAAAAAGATTACTCTAAAACAGAATAAGTCCTCAAAAAGATTACTCTAAAACAGAATAAGTCCTTGAAACAGAATAAGTCCTCAAAAATATTACTCTGAAACAGAATAAGTCCTCAAAAAGATTACTCTAAAACAGAATAAGTCCTTGAAACAGAATAAGTCCTCAAAAATATTACTCTGAAACAGAATAAGTCCTCAAAAAGATTACTCTAAAACAGAATAAGTCCTCAAAAAGATTACTCTAAAACAGAATAAGTCCTCAAAAAGATTACTCTAAAACAGAATAAGTCCTCAAAAAGATTACTCTAAAACAGAATAAGTCCTCAAAAAGATTACTCTAAAACAGAATAAGTCCTCGAAACAGAATAAGTCCTCAAAAAGATTACTCTAAAACAGAATAAGTCCTCGAAACAGAATAAGTCCTCAAAAAGATTACTCTAAAACAGAATAAGTCCTTGAAACAGAATAAGTCCTCAAAAATATTACTCTGAAACAGAATAAGTCCTCAAAAAGATTACTCTAAAACAGAATAAGTCCTCAAAAAGATTACTCTAAAACAGAATAAGTCCTCAAAAAGATTACTCTAAAACAGAATAAGTCCTCGAAACAGAATAAGTCCTCAAAAAGATTACTCTAAAACAGAATAAGTCCTTGAAACAGAATAAGTCCTCAAAAAGATTACTCTAAAACAGAATAAGTCCTCAAAAAGATTACTCTAAAACAGAATAAGTCCTCAAAAAGATTACTCTAAAACAGAATAAGTCCTCAAAAATATTACTCTGAAACAGAATAAGTTCTCAAAAAGATTACTCTAAAACAGAATAAGTCCTCAAAAAGATTACGCTAAAACAGAATAAGTCATCAAAAAGATTACTCTAAAACAGAATAAGTCCTCAAAAAGATTACTCTAAAACAGAATAAGTCCTTGAAACAGAATAAGTCCTCAAAAATATTACTCTGAAACAGAATAAGTCCTCAAAAAGATTACTCTAAAACAGAATAAGTCCTTGAAACAGAATAAGTCCTCAAAAATATTACTCTGAAACAGAATAAGTCCTCAAAAAGATTACTCTAAAACAGAATAAGTTCTCAAAAAGATTACTTTGAAACAGAATAAGTCATCAAAAAGATTACTCTAAAACAGAATAAGTCCTCAAAAAGATTACTCTAAAACAGAATAAGTCCTCGAAACAGAATAAGTCCTCAAAAAGATTACTCTAAAACAGAATAAGTCCTCGAAACAGAATAAGTCCTCAAAAAGATTACTCTAAAACAGAATAAGTCCTTGAAACAGAATAAGTCCTCAAAAATATTACTCTGAAACAGAATAAGTCCTCAAAAAGATTACTCTAAAACAGAATAAGTTCTCAAAAAGATTACTCTAAAACAGAATAAGTCCTCAAAAAGATTACTCTAAAACAGAATAAGTCCTCAAAAAGATTACTCTAAAACAGAATAAGTCCTCAAAAAGATTACTCTAAAACAGAATAAGTCCTCAAAAAGATTACTCTAAAACAGAATAAGTCCTCAAAAAGATTACTCTAAAACAGAATAAGTCCTCAAAAAGATTACTCTAAAACAGAATAAGTCCTCGAAACAGAATAAGTCCTCAAAAAGATTACTCTAAAACAGAATAAGTCCTCGAAACAGAATAAGTCCTCAAAAAGATTACTCTAAAACAGAATAAGTCCTTGAAACAGAATAAGTCCTCAAAAATATTACTCTGAAACAGAATAAGTCCTCAAAAAGATTACTCTAAAACAGAATAAGTCCTCAAAAAGATTACTCTAAAACAGAATAAGTCCTCAAAAAGATTACTCTAAAACAGAATAAGTCCTCAAAAATATTACTCTAAAACAGAATAAGTCCTCAAAAAGATTACGCTAAAACAGAATAAGTCCTCAAAAAGATTACTCTAAAACAAAATAAGTCCTCAAAAAGATTACTCTAAAACAGAATAACTCCTCGATAAGATTACTCTAAAACAGAATAAGTCCTTGAAAATGATACCACGACATAGTAATGACGTATCATTAGGAACTGGCTAATCTATTTTCATTAATATATCACCACTAGATGATATTACATTCTAAAAAAAAATTTAAAAATATAATAGTACCTTTTCACCATTCTTTGCCGTATAACATTTGATTTAAGAATAAAATTACAACATTGTATTTACCACTAAATGGAGATTTTTTTATTCTGCATTCTCCAATGTTCACTTACAAAATTTCAAACTGCAAACATGATTATAAAATAAGTCTCTTACCAAGTTAAATTTACCTGCCAATGTAGATTTTCTCTATGATGTTATAAAAACTATGATTGACTTAAGTTAGAACCCGTAAGATTTAAAAGGTATCACATTGAGATCTTAACAGATGTGGCTTTCATTGATCACAAATACGGGATAATCCTCCGGATGTTGTGTAAAATAACTTCATAGTTTACATTATTGATATTTGATTGATTTTTTGGCCTCTTTTGTACGAGGTTTATACGAGTGTAAATATTAGGCCACGGGCCTACTCTTGACCCTGCCTGAGCCGCACCTTTACATGTAGGGCCCTCCGACCTGTCCTCAGGGTACTGTGAATTGGTTTGACGGTGCTATATATGGTGGTGTAACAATATTGTGTTAGTACTGTATTCTTTGGAGGGCGGCTGAATGCACCAGGTCACACTCCATTCATTCTCCAACTTCTCACAAGCTTATGAATGACGTTGGTTAAATTTGCCACATGTTCTTGACATATAAAAGGATACTGAAGGAAATCAATGCTGTATATTGACTGGTGATATGTGTCGTGGTGTATCCGAGTACATTATACAAATGAGGCTGAAGTACTTACACAAGGTTTTTTTGTGATGTCTTGACAATGGACTAGACAAGGACTAATATCTAGCCTTGGGTATATCCATTAAGTATTAATCAAGTTCAATTATGAGGATTTGGTACAAGGACATTGTGCAGCCCAGAGTGTTGGGATTCCTAAACAGGACTGTAGTTAAGGATGTTGTATGGTCAGGAATATCCTAAATAGGACTGTAGTTAAGGATGTTTTATGGTCAGAAATATCCTAAGTAGGACTGTAGTTAAAGATGTTTTATGGTCAGGAATATTCTAAAAAGGACTGTAGTTAAGGATGTTGTATGGTCAGGAATATCCTAAATAGGACTGTAGTTAAGGATGTTTTATGGTCAGAAATATCCTAAATAGGACTTGAACTGCTAGGATACCATTGTGAGGACACAGTGCTACTCAGAATACACAGATTTCCTATGTAGGACAAGTGAGGGTGTCACAGTAGTAAGGACACAGTGTTATCAGAATACACAGATATCCTATGTAGGACAAGTGAGGATGTCACAGCAGTAGGGACCTAGGAAGAGAGCAGTCCCAGGCTGCAGGGATTTTTGACAGAGGACAAGATACAAAGATATTAATCCAGCCCAAAGTTCATAGAATCTTATACACAGGACTAGATTAAATGTTATTGGATAAAGTGTGACTACAACAACAGGGTTGTCCCATCAAAGAGCTTGACACTTTTTAGCTACAGGAAGATTGTACTGAGAATAGATAGGGTGACATAAGGACATGGCCTTGACTTCGGGGATTCCTTAAACAAGAGATAGGCAATACAGGAAGTGTGTGTTTACATATGGCTTTGTGTCCTTATTGGAACTAAAAGCTTTCTTAAGTATGGTGGACATACAGGAATACCGCTTCTCTCCTGTGTCCCTCAAGGAGGGAGGCCCTGCCCCGTGGGAGGATGAGGATGAGGTGACAGAGGACCATGGGATGGAGGAAGGGTACAGTGAGGAGGAAGTGGTTGGGGAGGATTTTATGGAGGAGGGATTTTCCCTGGTAACAGAAAATGAAGTTGCCCCTGTTCATGTTGGAATGTTGGAGGAAGAAATGAATTTTCAGAATTTAAAGGAACAAGTGATTGTGTGAGTGAGATAGACTGTAGATTGTTTTTGTAAGGTTTACTTGTTCCCAAATAATTAACATATAAACAACTAGTGTGTTTTACAGATTTACATATATATGCCTTTTAGTATGTAAAATTACCAGCAGATGTTAGGAGATGTCCTCCTAACTCCAACAGACTTTTCCCATGAGTAACACTTGTGTGTGTAAATATCACTTGGTCGGAACAATTCTGATATATATTGACTTTTGTACATATCACATCGAGAACTCTCAATACTTTTTCTTGAATGAAAAGAATAAATTAAAAACAGTGAATGGCATAAAATAATGTTTAGGAATTTTTCATTTATTTTTTTGTGAGCTAGATCCTTTGACTTTCAGAAATACTGACATTTAACCGTCTGTACAGGTGTCGGTGATGACTTGAATCCACCCTAAACACCATCAGAGTTTAATTACAAGGTACACTACTATAGTATATAGACAGAATGTTTCATCCATTGTTACTAAAAATATACGGAACAAACAGGGGGTGTTACCAAATCTACATGGTACATAAAGTGGGCGTGACACCGATTGTTGTAATGATTCTGTTTTCTTTGACAGTCGATACAAAGCTCTAGAAAACATGATGGAAGACGCTCTGAAGAAAAGCATGGAGATCAAAGAAGAAAAGATACATGCCTTGGAGAGCAGGTTTAACATATACTGACAAATATCCTTGGGTCCTACAATTTTGTAGATTGTTAGCTGAAACTTTAAACAGATCACTACTAAATATTTAGAAAAAATAACAAAATTTGTGAAAATTTCCGCATACTTCTGATACTTGTTTGAGTGGAAACATTTTTATTTTTATTTATTAAACAGTGTTTAAGCAGTTTTATTTAATCGTTATTGATAAGAGATTTAGATAAATCACTATTAGGTTCTTGAACAACTATACTCCATCCTTTAAATTTAAAGCTAAAACAAGATTGTTATGAAAAGGATTTCAATTTTTGGTATATCTTAGACTTCTAAACAAAAGAATTATTTTCATGTTTAGATGTGTCCCTTTAACTATTTTCTGCTTGTAATTATTTTTGAAAATTTGCATTATACATTGATATTCAAATTAAGAAAAGCTTCATCATAATTGCCTTCATGTTAACGGAGAATTTAATATTCCCACACAAGGAAACAAAAGCTGTACTCATACATAAAATATAGCCTAGATCTAGCTTAATGATCCACAGCTCATTCAATGTTATCACCTTGTCATTGTATGTATAAGGAAGTAGGTATGCTGTTTAATAATATTAGGTTTATTTCCTCACAAAATATTGGATTGTGTCAGAAATTGATTAAACCAGGTATTATAGGGAAGGAACACATTCCCTCAGAAATAATATATAAAATCAACAATATTTTGTTTACTTTTGCTCTTTATAACACATTCATTTAATCTCTTACATGATGACACTTAGCATCATTCATAGATCTATGAACAGCGTGCGCTGCTAGTAACATCTAATGTGAACAGTAGTACTATGATACTTTTTTTTTTCTTGTGAAAACTTAAAACCTTATTCTATGTAAAAGTACTAAATTTCGTGCAATCATATTTTAGCACATTAACATATTTTGGCAAATTAGTACATTAATAAAGTCACATATCCCCAGTAATTACTATATAAGCATCATTTAGGAACTGCAATTAGTGTAATATTTTAGCGCAATGCTTTCAGCCCAAAAAGTGCTTAAATAAGATAACCACTGGAATATGTACATTTACAGTATGTTTTGTACAATTAGGATGTATTTTGTTTCTGCCCCAGATATAGAGATCTTGTACTACCTAAGTAGGTATACAAGGTTACCTACCAGTAGTTATACTTATATAGTTATAGTGAAAAAAAGAAATGCAAATTAATAGAATAAATAATGTTATTTTCAAATTATAGATTGGAAGAGTCAAAGAAGCGTAACATTCGTCTCCAAGATGAGCTGCGTCAGCTGAAACAGGAATGTGAGTCTCTGAAACAGAGATACGAGGAGGAGACGCATGGCCGAGACAGGTCAGTGTAATGTTTGTCAGGTTCACTCTTTGGAATGGATTTCTGTGCCTTCTCTGCAAAACAAAAAGTAGAAAAGGAAATTGCATTTCCTTAATTTAAAAAACAAAACACAGTTATAATATTAAAGAATGGAAATTTCCAAACCATTGGCAATGTAATAACAGCAGATAATTACTTACAATTGAAGATGGCCGATCTTTTAATCATTATCCAAGAATGTGTTGTTGATATTTAAATGTGTGTCTGCGATCGCGGATATTCATGATTGTCTTTAATCGTTATTTTACAATACCGGTATTTAAAACTTCATTAAATATGGATGTTTCCAGACATGATAGTGGTGTGCGTGGAAGTCAATTTGGTCGGACCAATAATCCTTCCAAGGAAATGTTTGAAGTTAAGGACCATCTTATCAAGGTGGAAAGACAGGTATGTTTCAAGTTAAACTGTGACTGTGATGTGACAACTCCAGCCCATATATACCCCAACTCCCTTGCTAACTGAGATTGTGATGTGACAACTCCATCCCATATATACCCCACCCCCTTGCTAACTTTGGATGTGATGTGACAACTCCATCCCATATATATCCCACCCCTACCCCCTTGCTAACTTTGGATGTGATGTGAAAACTCTATCCCATATCTTCCTTCCACCATTCAAATTTATTTGCTTGTAATATATTGTGTTTTACAAGTTGTTAAGATTTGCTTTTCAATTTTTAATGTATATTTGACAGGAAATTTGATTAAAATGTTACATTCTAAAATTGAAAACTGAATAAATTTTCAAATGATGTAAATGTGAATTTTTTCTCTGCAGAATGCCACCTTTATGGCAGAAAACAAGAACCTAAAATCGCAGACCAACTCGCTAAATCTTCAAATCCAGAAGTTGGAGAGCCAGAACTCCAAACTTCAGAATCAGTCAGCATCATTCCAGGATCAGTTCTCATCATTACAATCCCACAATGCCAAACTTCAGGTGGAGAACTCAACGTTGAAATCAGAGTGTTCCACATTACGTTCACAGATGTCAACTCTTCAGTCACATCTATCACAGCTGGAGGGCGAGCACAAGCACCTGCTGGAGAACCAGGAGGAGCTGCAGACTTCACATGAACAGCTGGTTCAGGACCACGAACAACTACAACAGTATCATGAACAGCTTGCATCAGATTATGAGGGACTCATCTCTGAACATGGCTCGCTTAAATCTGTGCATAAGTCTATGAAAGGAGAAAATAAAGACTTAAAAGATAGACTTGACGCATTCCTTCAGGGTCGCGAGGACATGTCACGGGTTCAGGATCGAGCTCAGCGTGAAAAGGATGCCTTGCGATCAGAGCTACAAACTCTGGGCGGAGTTCAGATGGAGTACGAACATCTACGTGAGGAACATAATAAGCTGCTGAATAAACATGAACAATTGTGTAAGGACTATAGCGAAGTTGCTGGTGATAACAAACATCTCAAGTCAGAAAATAATACATTCCTTACCAAAAATGCCGAACTCAAAACACAATGTGATGAATATAAAGAACAGTTACATTCCATGGAAATCGACATTAACAGTCTCGCTCATAAATATGATGTAAGTAGACCAATGTTAAATTATTTTGTAGAGCATCTTTATTTTGGAATCTAATCTATGTAAAATTATACTTGTGTAGATCTTTTTAGCAATGACACAACTAACCTTTTGTGTTGTCAGACTCTGTACCAGATGAACCAAAAGATGGAAGAAGACAATAAAAACTTACTGATGCAGATCCAGTCTCTCCTCAACTCTAACCAAGAACTGTTGTCACAGATCCTCAACAGTAAGGAGCACTTTGCTGAGGAGGAAAAGTCTTACCTGTACGTACTTATCTTAGTCATACTCTGGAGATACTTTAACTGATCTCCGTTACAACCTAGAGATATATCCTGACAGTCCTTCAGTACAATAAGATCACACAACAAATATATTGTCTCCTTTATCTAATCAAAGGAAACTCTTCAAGAATTCTCTGGTAGTCAACTCGTACAATCATACAGTGGAATACTGTTAAAAGTCAGATGTATGTTACGAGTACTGACAGCAGATAACTGTTAGTCAACTCGTACAATCATACAGTGGAATACTGTTAAAAGTCAGATGTATGTTAGTACTGACAGCAGATAACTGTTAGTCAACTCGTACAATCATACAGTGGAATACTGTTAAAAGTCAGATGTATGTTACGAGTACTGACAGCAGATAACTGTTAGTCAACTCGTACAATCATACAGTGGAATACTGTTAAAAGTCAGATGTATGTTACGAGTACTGACAGCTGATAACTGTTAGTCAACTCGTACAATCATACAGTGGAATACTGTTAAAAGTCAGATGTATGTTACGAGTACTGACAGCTGATAACTGTTAGTCAACTCGTACAATCATACAGTGGAATACTGTTAAAAGTCAGATGTATGTTACGAGTACTGACAGCTGATAACTGTTAGTCAACTCGTACAATCATACAGTGGAATACTGTTAAAAGTCAGATGTATGTTACGAGTACTGACAGCAGATAACTGTTAGTCAACTCGTACAATCATACAGTGGAATACTGTTAAAAGTCAGATGTATGTTACGAGTACTGACAGCTGATAACTGTTAGTCAACTCGTACAATCATACAGTGGAATACTGTTAAAAGTCAGATGTATGTTACGAGTACTGACAGCAGATAACTGTTAGTCAACTCGTACAATCATACAGTGGAATACTGTTAAAAGTCAGATGTATGTTACGAGTACTGACAGCAGATAACTGTTAGTCAACTCGTACAATCATACAGTGGAATACTGTTAAAAGTCAGATGTATGTTACGAGTACTGACAGCAGATAACTGTTAGTCAACTCGTACAATCATACAGTGGAATACTGTTAAAAGTCAGATGTATGTTACGAGTACTGACAGCTGATAACTGTTAGTCAACTCGTACAATCATACAGTGGAATACTGTTAAAAGTCAGATGTATGTTACGAGTACTGACAGCTGATAACCGTTAGTCAACTCGTACAATCATACAGTGGAATACTGTTAAAAGTCAGATGTATGTTACGAGTACTGACAGCAGATAACTGTTAGTCAACTCGTACAATCATACAGTGGAATACTGTTAAAAGTCAGATGTATGTTACGAGTACTGACAGCTGATAACCGTTAGTCAACTCGTACAATCATACAGTGGAATACTGTTAAAAGTCAGATGTATGTTACGAGTACTGACAGCAGATAACTGTTAGTCAACTCGTACAATCATACAGTGGAATACTGTTAAAAGTCAGATGTATGTTACGAGTACTGACAGCAGATAACTGTTAGTCAACTCGTACAATCATACAGTGGAATACTGTTAAAAGTCAGATGTATGTTACGAGTACTGACAGCTGATAACTGTTAGTCAACTCGTACAATCATACAGTGGAATACTGTTAAAAGTCAGATGTATGTTACGAGTACTGACAGCTGATAACTGTTAGTCAACTCGTACAATCATACAGTGGAATACTGTTAAAAGTCAGATGTATGTTACGAGTACTGACAGCAGATAACTGTTAGTCAACTCGTACAATCATACAGTGGAATACTGTTAAAAGTCAGATGTATGTTACGAGTACTGACAGCTGATAACTGTTAGTCAACTTGTACAATCATACAGTGGAATACTGTTAAAAGTCAGATGTATGTTACGAGTACTGACAGCAGATAACTGTTAGTCAACTCGTACAATCATACAGTGGAATACTGTTAAAAGTCAGATGTATGTTACGAGTACTGACAGCAGATAACTGCTAGTCAACTCGTACAATCATACAGTGGAATACTGTTAAAAGTCAGATGTATGTTACGAGTACTGACAGCTGATAACTGTTAGTCAACTCGTACAATCATACAGTGGAATACTGTTAAAAGTCAGATGTATGTTATGAGTACTGACAGCTGATAACCGTTAGTCAACTCGTACAATCATACAGTGGAATACTGTTAAAAGTCAGATGTATGTTACGAGTACAAAGAGGTCAATTTAGTATCTGATCCTTGTCATAGTTTAATTTCCTGTTACAGAGAGAAGATGTCTGACTTGAGACGACAGAAGGAAAGACTAGAAGAGAAGATCATGGATCACTACAGACGACAAGAAGTCTCGAAGAAGTATGGACACATTATGTTTACATCTATTGATGTCTATCTCTGTTCTAAATATGTTTATGACAAGAAGTATGTATCAGATAGTTTTACTTTCACATCAACAATTTGACAAATATCTGGAGTTTTTTAGAATACCACAAAATTTCAATAAGACATTTAATTTTACAGTATCACAAGTCAAAAATTGGTCTATCATTGAATTGCTACAACTGTGATTTCAGAAACCGTGGTCTGGGAGCAAGAATAGCCAGAAGAGCAGCTAAGATATTTGTATCAAGGGTAAGTACCCACCAAAATGTGTTGACATTAAAACTTTAATGAAAATTTTAATTGTTAATTTGTTTTACAGATGTTATTGTAAAAGTTTTAATTTTCTTGTTTTGGTAAAATCTAGCAGACTGTCAGCTGTCAATAATTGTTCAAGATAATTAATGTCATCTCCCATGCAGTAACAATGACTTTTGACCTTCAACATGTGTTAACCTCAATTGCATTCTGGTTTATTCTAATCTTAAACATGTGTCCTTTGACATTTGATCTCTTGACATACCACCATCTATTGATGTATCTTTGACTTACGACCTTTAACCTTTAGCATGTTTTAATTGTTATTGTTACTGTTTAATGCTAACCTCTGACTTATGACCTTTGATCTTTGTCCTGATATGGTCGACTAATGACCTTTGATTTTTGTTGTTTCCCCAGAACCGGGAGCGAAGTAAGAGCAGAAACAATCTGACAAACATCGACAACAGTCAGGACAATACGTCGCAAGGCTCGGGTGATATCACAGCTGACCATAACGATTCAAGGAAGTCGGGTGAGCATTATGGGATAGGGTTTAATGGGGCATGAGGTATTTCCATTGAAAGTAGAGTCGGGATTGGTTCTCTGGTGACAGGTGGCCATGTTGCTATGAGTTACAATTTCTTATCACCTGATTCTATCACAGTAACACCAGATTTATTTGCATTTGGATGGCACAACCTCGACCAGAACTGTTTACACCTGTGTGTTTCTGATGAAGGCTGTAAAGCTGTAATCTTAAAATGGCCTAGGGAGCTAGCATTTATAAATCAATTTGGATATCCTTGATGACTACCTGTCTATTCTGATACCCTGTAGGTCAACAGTGAAACTATGATGACATTTTTAGAGCTAGATTCATTGAAGTCTGTATTATCTGACACCATTTGATATATGAGACCTGTCTATTCTGAAATTTGAAACATGAGAGCTGGATTCAACAAAAAGTCTTTATAACAACTTAAGTTTGATGTTAAAGGTTGTCAGAATAAACAGCACTTAAGTAGACAGGTTTTACTGTAAGTTTGATTCATTTTCATTACAAGTTTTTAATTGAACAATTTTTAAATCATGCACCAATCAAAATACACTTTTATTCCCTCACTGTGTACACCAGATATTGCCAGAACTCACCTTGGCATGATTCCTGTGTAAACTTGTTTGTTCCCATCATGATGACCCCTAAATGTTGTTACCTTACCTGTTTTGTCAAACCTTGTAACCTTGCCTTTGTTGTCTGGAAATGACCCCTGTATGACCTTACTGAGGTTGTAGTAGATATGACCGCTGTTTGACCTTACATGTTCAGTCACAGAAATTACCTTTTTAACCTTGCCTTTGGTGTCATGGAAATGACTTTGTAACCTTACCAATGTTGTTATTACCTCTGTTTGACCTTACTTGTGCTGTCATGGATATGACCTCTGTTTGACCTTGCCTATGTTTCACCAGAATGCTTTGTGATCCTACCTGTGTTGTCCTGGAAACTTTCCCCATCAAAGTTACTTCCTGCATGTAACCTTGAAACTTGCATGTTTTGTGATGTTGAAGCCCACAATCTAACTAAACACACCATCTTCTTGTGTCACAATGGAAATGATTGGATGCTGATCTGTCCTAACCATACTGTGTGCTGTTTGAGCACCATTACTAAATATCATGTGCTGTTGCTGTCCAAGTTGTTAATCACCATCTGACCAGTGGTCATTTAGGCATGTGCCCATTATTATCCTTTATAATCATTTCTGATATGTGGTACAGTATCATGTGATGTTTCCCAGCATGCAATTCAGCAATACTCTCTGGCATGTTGACCAAACTTCCTGTTCTATCTATATATAGAAAGGTCTTTGGTTTTGAGCATTTTGTTTTTGTACCATCAGAAAGGAAACACAATCGACGCGGTAGTGCAGAGAATCTATTGGAAACTTCGGCCCTGTCTAAACAGAGTCGTAGTCGCGCAAAATCTACCACAGCCCTCAACCTCGAGGCTGACAGTAGCGACCAAGCTGTCAGAGGTAAACACTCACAGTATAGCATGTGTCCCTCAGTTTGTATTGTAGATATCGTCTTTGGTTTTTAATTGTATTTTAGTTTTTTACGTGGTTTGTATATTTTGAGCTGTATATATGCATTTTACCAATATGACTGTGTTGTTCATCTGATTATTCTTTTCTCAGTTCTGCTTTTGTTCCAAAAATTTGTCTTGGTGTCTTTGTGGTGTTTATTTCAGTAAAATTTGTCCAAATACATTAATCAGTCAACTTTTCTTTCTATTTACAATTTGACTTAATCTCTGTTCTGTTAATTTGGTGGGGGCATATACATAAATCTCTTTCCTTACTCTGTGCCTGAGTTGATCATTATGTATGTGTTTGATGTATAGTGTCGTGGTGGTAGTTTGTTTTCCTTGTCCAGACTCTACATCATCAATTTGCTAATTCTCTATTCTGTGAAGCTTGTAATTGGTGTGGGTAGAAGACAGAACTGCTTTTTGTGATTTTTCTGTCATTTTGTGTTCTTTTTGTATATAGGGTTTGTAAAACCATATTGTTTTGTCACTTCATTGACAGAGATTATATGTTATGGATCAGCGTCCGTCGTCATACTTTTAATCTGTTTTAAGCGTTTATCTGCCAAGAAAAAAATAAAAACGTCTGATTAGGTTGGATTAGCTTATATCAGGTAAAAAAATGTAACACAATCTGTGAGCCAGGTTTAGATTGTCTGATGTGGCTGATGACAAGTAGCAATATCTATTTTCAATCAGTTTGTTCTCAAATATTGTTTTGGCCTTAAAACTATTAAGATTTTTCTGGTACTTAACAATCTTCTCATGAAACAGTTATTTATTCAAGTTTCTTCCCTTGGCCACTTACTTAACTGCAGTACAGATACAGGATGATAATATACCAGGAATAATATCTCAAATAAGTTTTGCCCTTAGCACTGCTTTTCAACTGGTACTAAAATAGAAGTCAGTGTTCACCGTAGGCTGTAACATAAAACCAAACTAGAATATATTTCCTACCATTTATATTTTCATTTGTTTAGCCCAATTCACATTGTATTTTAACATGTGTAAAGTTCACAAAGAAAGAGACGACACCCATTCTCTTTTCTATGTTGTTTTGTGAACATGTTTTTATGCGAGAAATCTAGATTTCAATCCAGCGCTCATATCCAGCCTTCTAGATACATATATTCTTGTCTCATTGAAATTTAGTCTATTTTTTGCCAAATGTTTTGAAGGTATACAATAATTATTAAAAAACGTCAACTAATTTCAAATTTGGCCGAAGTATAACAGTTTTCATTACTGTAAAGGAGGGTTTTTTTCTTACTGGTTTGAATTTCAGAGATTTACCAAAAGGTTGGAGCAAGATTTCTATTTCTTATAAGAGTTAAGACTAACATTAAAACATATATTGCAGAAATGAACTAATTTTAGTCTTTTCAGACTGAAAGTATTGAGCTAAAATTTGCTAATTTTCAGTTTCTGTTTATGTTTTATACTTGTATAACATAAAATTGCAGATGAGCAAATATTTGTGAAAATAGCAAAAATGGAACCACTCAAAAAATAACTCCTTCTACAGTAATAGAGAAAATTTGTCACATTTAAATCTCCACCAATCTCTCACCCTCTGTCCTGTTTGATATAAAGGGGCCAAATCCAGTGACAACCTTTTGGATTCTGTACGTAGTCATGGTGACAAGGCTTCAACCAGCTTATATAGTAGCACTACGTTGCCAGGTAAATGGTCTGCTGAGGAACGCCTGGGTTCCCATAGTGATGGTGGTGGAAGGACAGCATGCTGTCTCACAGCCTAGCTTTTTGTATCGTTTTAAATGCATGTTTTTATATATCCTTGTATTTGCTTTGCAACTGGGTTTTTTCAGAGTTGGAAATTTTCACTCCAATGTTCACATTTGTATTCTTTCAGTTTTCACCACATAATTTATTCAAATATGGTGTTGTTTATTTACATGTATAAGTACTTATTGTTTGTTTATCTAAGTATAAGTTTATCTTATAAATATTTCAGTGCTTTACAATTATATATCGTTTTCCTATATATTGTTTATTTGTCTTCATTACCTGTGTTATTAAATCCCTACCATTAGTACAGTGAACCAAAATACATAAAAAAAAACTCTCAACATTATGACCAGCCAGATGGTTATGGATTGAGTAGACGAACAGAATTTTCAACAAAAATTTCCATTCTGAAATTTTCCATTTTAGCCAAATGTTTTGTCTCTGCTTTGCTTTAGCTGACTGCCTAGTGTTGCTTTGTTTTAAACTTGCTTTTTTTGACTGCTATTCCGACCTTTCACCTTGCAACAGACAAGGTCTATAAATAGTTGTAGTATTGCAACATAATTGTAGTGTTGCTACATATACCTGTGTAGTCATAATATTGCTACATATAGTCATAATATCGCTACATATAGTCATAATGTGGCTGGATATAGTCATAATATCACTACATATAGTCATAATATCGCTACATATAGTCATAATATCGCTATATATAGTCATAATATCGCTACATATAGTCATAATATTGCTACATTTAGTCATAATGTGGCTGCATATAGTCATAATATCGCTACATATAGTCATAATGTGGCTGCATATAGTCATAATATCGCTACATGCAGTAATAATGCCAATGCATATAGTAGTGGTGTTGCCACATGTAGTAGTGTCACTACATACAGATATTACTGCTTATTGAGACAATATAACATGGCTGGCTTTTTTTGATAAGTAAGTAATATCTTACCTTAAAACATTCCCTTTTTCTGAAGTATGTAAAGAATATAGATAAGAATTCAATGACTCTGCAATTGTGTAAGGAAAGAAATAGAACAGAATTTTATGATCATGAATTTTTTTTTCTAAAAGGAAAAAACACAAAGTTAAATATGTACAAATGTTTGATGTTGTCTTACTAGTGATAAAAAAGCATTCAGTAATAAGTGTTCAGTAATTAGCCCACTTCATTGTTCTCAGGGTACATTATTCAGCTACAGAAACTGATCATTTAAGTCGTCTCTTAAAAAAGGAATCCTTTTCCAGAGTGACAATCTCCTAAAAAAAACCATATTATCTGTGTTAAATAAATTCATAACATTTTGAATGTCTGTTTAGCCAAGTCTTTCTGGGTTATCTCCCTTGGTGTATTACTGGTAAATTATACTACCTTATTTGCTTAGTGTTGTTTCACGGATATTCACGGCATCATATCGTATTGTATCCAGAACTTTTAGGAAATCATTACTTTGCATTTTGATTCAATGAATAGCATTTGAATTCCTGTTTGAAACATTTGGGAAGATATTTCCTCTTTTTTGTAGTGCAGAGTTATCTGCTCTTGTCAGCAAATTTTGATGGTTGTGTTATTTGTTAGTGATGTCATAGAAAATTTTCTCATGAAATTAATGATTTAACAATCATTACCTGCTTATAAGAGCAGATACAAAAAGATTCAATGGATTCTAGTTTGATGACATAGCTTTCTTATAAATTGTGTACATTATCATTTAAAATTGTGTACATCATCATTATAAGATGTGTACATCACCATTGTAAGTTGTGTACGTCCCTTTTTAAATTCATTGGTGATTTCTAGTTTCATTATTTGCCACCTTATTCATGTAGTTTTCATTTGTTAGATTTTTAACTTTCAAATTAAGTTTGACTTTGGAAAATTTTCCACGTTATGAATTCTAACTTACTTACCAAAGAAACCATAGCATACAGGACTTGAGTACAAGTGACCTTTAACTTATTTTACCTTGTTGATTACATCTTTTTTCCATAACTAATTCTAAAATTGACATCAATTGACAGTTGCATCTTTCCGATATTGACTGAATTTAGGATACAATGACCAGATATTAAGCAGAGCAAATAAACAGCCATTCTTTTAATGCAGGACAATTCAAGAGTTATTTGTAAAGAAAATCAATTTTTAATTTAAGTGTAGGTTTTACCTGTATCTTGCATGAAGCTCAACCATAAACACCAGTATATGTTGTTTTGTAAAATAAAAACCAATGCTACTTTCATTGTCCTGTTATAAGCCAAGACTTTGATACAGAGGTAATGTGCTGGCCCCCTTAAGTCCTGTAATAAGTAACAGGCCCACCCCTGACTTTGGTACAGGAATAATGTTCTTGCTAACCTGAGGTCCTGTAGTAAGCCCACCCCCAGGCTTTGATACAAAAGTAATGTGCTGGCTCCCTGGGGTCATGATATAAACCCACCCCCAGGCTTTGATACAGAAGTAATGTGCTGGTCTCCGGAGGTCCTGTAATAAGCCCACCCTATGATACAGTTACATAAATAGTGTATTATATGGAGTTTTTCACAGCTACAAAGATAACTTTTGTCTGTACCACAGTTTACCTTTCCTATACATTGTAAATACATGCACTCTGGGGAAGATGTTTTTGATTAGTAAAGAGGAATTTTAGCTATAAATGCCATTATAATTGGAAACTGGAATTTTCTTGTGATGTAAAAATGAGTTTGTTTTTAACTAATGCTTTGTAGATGTCATAACATGTACATTTTACATGTTTATTTACTAATTTAATGGCTGACACCAATAAAGCATGAAAACCAATATAGTTCACCAACAAATCAGTCAAATTGTATACCCACCTCATACTGCATTGCATGGAATTAAGTCTTTGTTTCTCAAACACTTTCATATCATAATAATTTGTTTTTCATTGTTTGTAAGCAAAATGCAGCTCTCTGATGGATCAATTTTTTTTGTTTTTTTTTTTTTGTTTTTTTTTTTTAAAGTAAAAATTAATCCTATTAAAGGTTAGATAATTACATTTCAGATGTAGTAATTTACTTTTTGATAATGAATACTATTGAAAAGTACGGAATATAAATGGTTTGTTAAAATCTGCTTAAATTACAGTTATTTTCCTAGAGAGAAAATGGACTGAATAATGTTAGCTTATTAATGCCTAGAAGATATGATATTGTTAGAATACTAAAGTTATACTCCTTTGATTTTAGATTCTGTTCAAACATCTCCTAAATGTTAACTCAAGCATTTTGTAATTATACAAGAGCCCACAATTCTTGATTTACAATCAGGACATGATATCCAAACTAGATAAGTAGACTTTTACCACAGAGACCTTTACACTTGCCTTCAATAAATATTTCTTCATTTTATAGGCCTCGGAAGACCAACAAGTTTCTCGGAGGATGACGACGGCGGGTTTCGTTCAAATGCTGCCGAGGGTGGCAATGACATGCTCACACTTGAGGAGTTCCTGGGGGAGGTGAATAAGGATAGCAAGGTAATAGAGATTTCTATGTGATGGATTAACGGATAAAAATCATCTGAAAATAGAACACTTCATATGTCTCTCAGTCATATCGTTACACGTTCAGAAGTTGCTGTCAGGCTCAAGATAACTTCAGCTTCCAACAATCAGCTTAAGATAGCTGATAAGGTTTTCTAACTCCTGAGTTTGTTGAAATTGTGATATGTTTTCTTCTGCCTGTACGTGAATACTGGGGTGTTAAATTAGTGTATAAACTTAAATACTTGTATACTGATTTGATTTTTCTGCCTTTTCACAGAGAAAGTCAATGGATTTCACCAAGAACAAGGATGATATTGAGTCCAAAAGTAGTGAGAATTCCGAGAGCAGTTTCAGGCAAAAACGCCAGGCACCACCACCGCCTGTGACCAACAACCGACCAATGCATTCAATCCCTGATGTGGCTGCAGTCTCGCATCCCGACCTTAACCTATCAAGGATGTCTCGCATTTCTACAGGTAGCAGTGGGAGTGGTCAGGAGAGTCGGCCTGAAAGTTACGGACAAGCCACTCCCCCGCACGTTAAGCTTCCGGAAACATCAACACCTGCACAATATAATAATGGAGGACCTCACAGCAATTCACTTGAAGAACTGGATAAGTTTTCTCCATTTCCACGGCAACAACAGCAACATGACTTCAGGAGGAACACAATGGGTTCAACACAATCTTCTGCAACAAGAACTCTCCAGTACTCAATGTTGTCATCTCCCGGCCAATCGGGCAACTCACCAGCTAATCGATCATCCAATCAAAACAGAGAGCTACCCCCTACCCCATCAGAGCCAGCCACAGACCGACTTGATAGACTTACGTCACTCAGTCAGTCCTCATCTTCTCATAATAACTCTATCATTTCTAATACCTCAAACTTCAGTGACATTTCCAAAAATAATAGTGTTTATTCTCCAAAGGACAGTTATAATTACCAGTCATCTCAACAACACATGGCAAACAAACCCCCTACCCCTCGAGGGTACCCAACCCAGCCCCCAGGGGCAAACAGGGCCTCTCCACATCCTCACCAGACTGGGGCAATCAGGAATCGACAGCCTCCAACAGATGGCCAGCCAAGTCCTCAGCAATATTCACATAATGGTCCTGTGAGACCAGTTCCCACCAGAGACACTATAAGACATGGACAAAGTCCAGGGTTGCGACCAAATACCTACCATGAACAAAACACATTCCAAAATAACAATACAGGTGCCTACTCCGGTGTAGGGGAGAATCGGACAAGGAATTCCATGGATTACTCTCAACAAAAATCTAGTGTTCAAAGTAACGGACCAATTGAAGGAAGTCAGGAGCATCATTATGCACGTGTGCAGAAAATAGAAAGACCTAAATCAGTTCCCCCAAACATTTTTAACCAGTTGCAAATGCAAGCTCAACAGCAGCAGGGCCAGAAACAGGACCAAGGACCTATATATTCACAGCCACAGAAAGTAGGTCGCACACCGCCTGTGCCACCTCCACGGAGAACTCGTGATGTGATTGCTCGTGTCAGTCTGGTTCGAGAACCAGGTCAGATGCCAACTGGACGCATGTCTGCTCAGCCTTTCCAAACATCAGGGGCCAACTCCTCAAATGGTCCTATGAATAAAACTTTGCCAGTAGGGGGCATGTCACGTTCTGTAAATCCTGGGGTGAAGTCCCCGCCCTCTAGTACATCAACTGCCCCACGACCAATGAAACCTGAGGAGAATGCCACTGAGCCTAACAAAAATGCACTATGGTACGAATATGGCTGTGTGTGAGACGCACACCACAGTCCTAAACATCTACCTCATCGTAGACGCTTTCTAACGTCTCATAATCTCCTCACAATGGCATAGCGTTACATTAATTAAGTCTCATATAGCTTTTTACATATTATTTATATTCACATTCTTTTTTTTTTTCTTTTTTTGTTACTTCTTTTGAAATGTTGTCCATGTCAAATGGATTCTGCACGTAATAACACACTAATGCTTAATATCTATTAAGGTAATAAATATTTATTCAAATGGAATCTCATTTTAAATGATGATGGATTTCTCGAATGGTTGAGGCGTTTTAAAGGAATTTTCTAAGAATTTCATTCCTGGACACAAAACTTTTCAGATTATCTCGGTCAAATACAATGAGATTTCATTCACCTAAATTTTTTGAAGCATGATTCCCTTCTCTCTGCTTTAAATCATTACCATGTATAACATCTATCTATTTATAATATGTTTTACTTAGGAACATTTCAGACTTGTCGTTTCAATAAAAATTAACCAATGCTGTAAAAGGTTAGATCTGTTTTGTCTGAAGAATCTCACAAATGGCCAGTTTCTGTAAAACTCTGGTCAGAATTTACTGATAACATTTTCTCTTTTAACAGGACTAGGGAAGCACGGTGATAGGTGGACAATTTAACCCTATGCATGTGGAACGGTGTAGTTGTCTCCCCTTGCCAGAGACAGAACAAGCTATTTAATATCAGGTGTTCTCTTGTGTCCGAGACTGTGAGGCCAACTGTTTGCCAGGAGGCAAATCCAGGGTCATTAAGTGTGGAATGTTCAGGAAATTAACCATTGACCTTGACCTTCATTGCGATTTGTCATTGACCTTTATGTCATATACAAAGGTCACATATAATCTCCCTGGCACCTGTCCACAAGCATGTTGTATGTCAGTCCGATTCAAAAACACACATTCATTAGATCAAGACCTTTTTGGCAATATTCATATTTATACTGGGAAAGTTGGCATTGTATAAGATTGTATTCATTTCTTGGTAATGCTCGGATTTTTTGGCTGATATAAAGATGTGTGCTTGAATCTGATTGACTGTTGTCTAACCCTTCACTTTACCTAATGCTTACCTCCCCTGTTTATGTATGGTTAACATAAGAGGCAGCACTATTCAGACTCATTTTCAAATTAATTCACACAATTTATCTGGTATTTGTCGTTATGGCAGCCATTTTGATTGATGGTTCAACAATTTTTGTAATTGTAATCATCAGAAGCAATATTTTTGTTTAAGCACCATGTTGCCTTGGCAGCCATTAGTACAGCTGATCCATATCTTTACAACACTTGATCTGTATCATTACTGCACTTAATTTTTATCCAGTGACAGCTGTCATATTATTTCATCCAACGAAATATTAAACGAAGATATGAAGTCACCAGATAAACATTCAGAAGAAAACAAAATCACATGTATAAACTTTCTTACAAAAAAGTTTTCAAACTCAAATTTCATTTAATTTTTTGAGGTATCCATTTTACATTCATTATACAGACAGCTGGTCTCTTGGTATAAATGTGACCTAATTACAAATAACTGGTTTTCTACTTTTCTTTAAAAATTAAAAAAAATCCCAAAGCATCTGGATTATGAAGGTCCTCTTTTTGTAAAGCAACATTTTTGTCTCACTGAAATAACACTACAAAGTACAGTATCCATACAATAAGACCAGTGATCATGAACTAACAAAAACTTGTCTCAGTGTTTTGTTAATATGAATATATTGTACTTTTTGGTGTATTCTTTGTTTTGAATTTCTATAAGCTAATATCTTAGAGACAGCCATATGATCGACAATATATTGGTTCTCATGACATTCATGAAATTAACAATGAATATACAGAATTGCCTAAACAAAAATTCAATAACTGTTATAAAAATTTGAATTGCTGGTACAGATATGTTTATTATTATGAAAACAAAAGTATACAAATATTCTTTGACCAAAAAATGATCAGTGTCGGATCATTTACACAAAAACCAGGTTATGTATTGTTAGCGCATTTAATGAATCTTAGGGCATTGCATTTAAAATTATCTTCAAATTTTTTGTTATCCATAAAAATGGATATTTTAAAATTTTCCTTGAAGTTTAACCAATTCATGGTATTTTTTTTTTATCAAAGTAACCAAAGTCCAGTAAGCTTTAATAAAACATTGTTACCAAAACTTATTTTCTGACTTATAAAGTTAGTACTGTTCCACAGTGTTCAGGGAAGAGCTGAGAGAGGGAGCAATCCTTTAAAGCTACCATTCAATGTTTTGCAAATAAATGTGACATGCCTAACAATGTGAAATGTCTAACCACACAAATTATCTCCCTTGCCACTTTCGTACACAGTGTTTGTGTCGTGTTACCATGGTTACCTTGCTATTGAGATTGTTACAGGTAACAAAAGTTACCATTTAAGTTGTATATTAGTTTATAGTATGTCTGTAATATTTATAAAAAGAAGTTTGAATTTTTTTTTTTTTTTTTTTACACCTTGAAGCACTTTTTCTTACAGCGAGCCATATTGTCCGTCCTACAACAAAATGATTAGCCATGCATGCATTTTTTAGCTGTCTCTTCGAACACTTTAGAATCAGAAGTCTGCATGAATGTTTAATAGATATATATCTTCATATTAAGGCATCTCCAGTAACATTAAATATGCACATGTGATGAAGTATGTTGTGATAGAAAAGTATTCTGTAAATTGGTACAAAGTTAGATTTATATATGTATGTACATTGTTTTGTATAGTTTCTGTGTTTTACAATGTGAGCCATTCCACCATTTATATCATCTCTAACTTAAAGCTGATGTTTCTTTTTTTACCAAAATAAGCCTTACTCTTACTGTGGCTCTCGGTAGAATCCCCTGCACCACTTCCTCCCCCTCATCACAACATGGACCATGGACCATGGGCCGTTCTATCACTTTTTGACAGAATTCAAACATAAGAATTTCCCATACAATTTTCAGGATTCCTTTTTTTGTGTAGATGTGAACGATAGAATGCATTATGTCAGTATTTTTTCAGATATTTAATCTGAAGTGAGGGTTAGATGCATATTTTCGTTTAATCTTACTACACATTTGCAGTAAATGCCTGATAGAGTCAATCTCTGTATTAATGGCGTGGTGTTTAGAGACATCACCATTACCTCTCATTAGAGTCATGGGACCTGATAACTGGTTTTAATCTTAGACAGGTTTTCACACAATTGTAGACAAGCTGACACTTTTTCCTGTGTTGTTATTTAAGAACAGAAAGGGTAAACAGCTGATATTGAAATGTGCCTTGATAAACATTGCTCACCTGTTCATTGTCAACCATACCTGTGTACTGTTTTTGTTTATCTGTAAACAACACAATATCTGTGATTTAGATACTCGATGCTATCTACAATCAGAAATATTCTCAACTTATATGAAGCTCAACAGTAATCTTGATGGTGCAGGTTTGCATCATTTCTAATTTAGTGTCAAAATTATTTTATACCACTGGGGATTTTTGAATAGAATTAAATACTACTACCATTACTTTCTGTATATTTTCAATATATGTTTATAAATCTGTTGGTTTTGTTGCCGACTATATACGTACCCCAGGAAAAGTCAGTCAGAAGATTTCAACTTTACCCTTCCCAGCTTTTAATACTGGCATTTCTCATAACATAAATCTGCTACAACAATTGTTGGGAGTCAAATTTGGTTTCAAAATAAAATCCAGCAAGTTAAATTTTTCAAAAAACACATATGTACATGTGTGTATATGGACACTTCTGTTTACATGTGTATGTATGAACACTTATATGTACATGTGTATATATATGAACACTTCTGTGTACATGTGTATATATGACACTTCTATGTACATGTGTATGTATGAACACACATATTGGATATGTTATTAAATGTTAATTCACTTGTCAGCAGAATTACAGGAATATAATTAAATACAGAAACACAGTTTTATTGGTACTTTGGCACGGTATGATGATCCGTCCCAGAACAGGCTGTCTCAATTACCTCCCTTGCTATTTATACTTTGTCAAAGAACCTTTTACATTTTTCAGAAATGCAGAGTTTTTCTTCATGCTGTTTTATGACAGGAGAATTGGCAGTATTACCAGCATATTATTTTCATATTGTATAAAGAAAATATTTTGTTGCGCTAACTATCTGTTATGAATAGCCACAGTTAAATATATTGCTTAATGCAAAAACTAAATTGGTATTTTCCTCATTTTTGTAAAGGAAATTGCTAACTTTGCAATCCCTAACCCCTGCTTGAACCCAAAACCCCATCTCTCTTTCTTTTCATCATAATAGCACCTACTGTGAGGATTTAAGATATGCATTCAGCTACAACTAAATTAATAGGAAGCATATTTTTAGAAGTTACACTGTTATATATATTTTTTCAAATTTAACGTAAAGATCATTTTTACATAAATCCTGCCTTTTTCACATTGAAAAATTTTGCTTGTATATTTTTGTAACATGCTCATCAAACTTACATACAAAACAATGTGAAATCAATGTTAACAGGTTGCTTGAAATGCATTGTACAAAATCATTGCTAACAAGATGCTTGTCTACATTGAAATCATTGTTAAAGAGATGCTTGATAAACATAAATCATGTATAGAGAGAATTGTTTCACTTGGCTTCAGTGGAAATATTTCCTTAAAGAATTTCATTGTTTTTGCAATAATTTATTACATGAATCACCAGAGTTAATATTGATTAACTGAATAGAATTAAATGTCATTAAACTGAACTAATGTGTTTGTTTTTTGTTTGCTTTCAAAATCTCCAGACATTCTAGTAGTCATGTTCATTAATCTCCACTTTTGTCATCAGACAAAAAATTGCTGGGTTTAGAAAAGAAAAGAGATATGTTTTAAATAGAGAACTGATTTCAAGGTAAAACATATTGCTTGGATCCTTCTTTTATTCTGAATGATCATTGATAACTTACACATCAGGTGTTCAAAACATTGTATATGTACAAGTATGTCCAAGTATTAAGTGAATTCAAACACCATTTGCAAATAAAAATGAAATGTTCTATGGGTAAATGATACATTAAAACCAAAGCATCTCCAGACAATAGTGACTATCACTAAAATTAACAATTACAAATTTTCACAAAAACACAACTGACGACCAAATTTCATTAAAAATTTTTTTTATTTAATTCAAAGATAAAAATAACAATCACTTCAAAAAACATCTATATAAGTCAAGAATACCTGAGCATTTTTTGTTCTTAGCACCATGGAAATAAGTAGTGGAAGACTTTGAAATATTATTATCACATACATCTTCACTTACTTTTATGGTGAATTATCTCCCCTCTCTCACTTTCTGCATTGAAATCAACACAAACATTCAATACAGTAAAATGTAGCACCATTTCTCTTAAAACAAATTATCTCCCCTCTCTGTATCAAGATGATAAACACAAATCCAAATGATCATTCATCTCTGCTTCAAGCACAAGCTTTGTACACACTGGGCATTCATGAAAAGTAGGAGAGGCGGATGGAAGGGAGAGAACTCCATCGTTAATAATGTCTTTCTTGTCCTTTTCTGGTGATCTCATTTTACTAAACATTCCACTCACAGTATTTTGACTACTGTCAATGCCACTCACACAAGTCTTCTTTTTACCTGGAATACTGGTTTTTTTACCTGTTGATTTTTTGTTACCTAAAACTGATGTATTTTGACTATCTGAAGCAGGCACATTAGTTGTAGAATTGATACATTTTTGAGAACTAGAATTCAGTGATTTACTTTCAAGTCTACTTAATAATGGTAAATTCTGATCACTCTGTGATGTATTGAAGATTCCATCTATCCTTGTCTCATTGTCCTCATCACTTCTACACCTTTTGGCTGCACTAGGGTTGAACAGCTTTGGTTCCGAATCTTGTGTCCTTTTCTTTGGTCTGCATAGAGCAGGTAAGCCTGACACAGTGGCTGATGTATTGAATCTTTTGGTCCACACTTCCCGAAGTTTGGATTTCACATCTTCTTGATCACTGGTCAGTTTGCTGCTGGCTCTATCCAGTGCAATAAGATTTGTGGATGTCAGTTTACAGACCTGTGAGAGATCCTCCTCGTCTGAATCTAAAAGTGACACATGACTAGTCTCTTTAATAATATGGTTTCCATGGTATCCAGGTTGTGTGGACACATGATTCAATGACCTTGACCCTGAAAGGTCAAGTGAATCTGACCCAGTAGTTACATCATTTACATGTAATTTCTTAGAAAGAACGCCATTCACCAGTGTTTTAGGTGTAATTTCTCCACTAGTCACTGTTGATGTTACAGGAGATTTGTTTTCTCCTTTCATCACTGAGACATTTCTATTTCCGTTCATCCTTCCTGTTAGTGTCTTTTGGATTTTGTTACTATTTGTAGCAGTCACTTTTTTATTGCTGACATTTTGAGAGCTATCTTTTCCTTTGTCTGTACTCAGTACATTTCCCTTCCCACCAAACAGGCGGATATCCATGTTTTTGTTGATTTCTGAAATGATAACAAATAGAGTAATACAGAAATGTTAAGCCTGGTCTATACACAGACAGACTTATGTGAAGTCATCAATAGCATATCAAAGGCTTTACATGGTAAATTTACATAGCAAGCATCTGACATGTGAAATATTTGCCCATTGTAAATAAATTCCTTGCATTTGTGTACATCTTGTCCCTTTAATGCAGAAATCAGCTGTTCAGTGTTTTCTGACTTACAAGAATTAAATACCATACCATACATATCCTGTGATAAGCCAACAAGGTTGACACATCAGACTCCCAAGTCAGGTGGTGGGCTTATCATAAGACAATAAAATAGCATTTGTTGTGATTTTATTGAACAGCAATAGATATAGGTGGGCTTATTACCAGGCATGGGCTTATTGTCAAATAAATACATATGTTCAACTGCGAAAATTTTTTTCTTGCACACAAATTTTTTGCAGTTGCTCTGTTTTTATATATACATACCCTTGCCTTTCTCACTTTTTTTGATGTCTGTGCCGTCTGACTTTCCTGATACAAATCTGTTTTTATATATACATACCCTTGCCTTTTCACGTTTTTTTATGTCCATGCCATCTGACTTTCCTGATGCAACTCTGTTTTTATATATACATACCCTTGCCTTTTAATGGTTTTTGATGTCCGTGCCATCTGACTTTCCTGATGCAACTCTGCTTTATATATACATACCCTTGCCTTTCTCATGTTTTTTGATGTCCATGCCCTCTGACTTTCCTGATACAACTCTGTTTTTATATATACATACCCTTGCCTTTCTCATGTTTTTTGATGTCCATGCCCTCTGACTTTCCTGATACAACTCTGTTTTTATATATACATACCCTTGCCTTTCTCACGTTTTTTGATGTCCGTGCCGTCTGACTTTCCTGATGCAACTCTGTTTTTATATATACATACCCTTGCCTTTTCATGTTTTTTTAATGTCCTTGCCTTCCGTCTTTCCTGATGCAACTCTGTTTTTATATATACATACCCTTGCCTTTTTCACATTTTTTGATGTCCATGCCATCTGACTTTCCTGGTGCAACTCTGTTTTTATATATACATACCCTTGCCTTTTAACGGTTTTTGATGTCCGTGCCATCTGACTTTCCTGATGCAACTCTGCTTTATATATACATACCCTTGCCTTTCTCATGTTTTTTGATGTCCATGCCCTCTGACTTTCCTGATACAACTCTGTTTTTATATATACATACCCTTGCCTTTCTCACGTTTTTTGATGTCCGTGTCGTCTGACTTTCCTGATGCAACTCTGTTTTTATATATACATACCCTTGCCTTTCTCATGTTTTTTGATGTCCGTGCCGTCTGACTTTCCTGATGCAACTCTGTTTTTATATATACATACCCTTGCCTTTCTCATGTTTTTTTAATGTCCTTGCCTTCCGTCTTTCCTGATGCAACTCTGTTTTTATATATACATACCCTTGCCTTTCTCACGTTTTTTGATGTCCATGCCTTCTGACTTTCCTGATGCTTTCTTTTTCTTCCCATATCCCTCTGGCTCCTTGACCTTCTCAAATACACCGTTACAGCTGTTTTTATGATCCCTCCACCAGGGGTCTCTTTCTGAGGGTGCTCGATTCATGGCACGTTTAACATAACCAAAGTAAGGTTTTCGCTGCCTACAAGGGCCAGTACATCGCCACCAGTGTTGTCTGTAGTTGTCAACTTCATCATGGAATGTGTGGTATACCTAGAAATCAGAAAAGATTTATTATAATTTGATATGTATTAGGCTATTTGTGTTCCGATTCAATTTTCAATATTTCTTATCAATACTGTATTACACAACAATTAATGCATATCATCTCTTGATTGTTAGGTTGTGATTTTCTTTTCTTTACATTTTCTTTTTTCTATAGCAAGAGAGAAAGGCTTATATCCAAACTTTTCTACCTTTTATATTAATTTGTTGGTTAGTGTGTAAATGCTTGTTTTGATATGTTTATTAAGTAGTCAGGATCACATATTACAAACAACTTGTGTATCATATTAATAATAACTGATGGGTGTATATCATTATGCACATCGTATCTGAGCTAAACTATCACCATAATCACCATGTGATTTATAGTGTAAATCATCTATAGTCAAGTTACACAGATCAGCAACATTTTCTTTTCCATCGAAATCATTATTCTATTTTACATTGTCATCATCACTTGGTATAAGCCAAAATCAAATACCAACACTATACATAAATACAGTACATATTTATGAAGAAATGATATTTTAGCACCGTAGGCCCAGAAAGTACTGCACTAAAATATGATAGCACTAATTGTGGTTTCTGTACATTGTTTTTTTGTAGTAGAGATGAGATGATGATCAGCTATAGATTATCTAATGCTTTAACCTCATCTGTCTGTATAGTAATTGTGGATATACAAATTCATCATTTCTTTAATTTACAAAAAAGTAACAATGTTTTAACTTTTGATAATTCCAAATAGCGTATGTTTACTCAGATTATTAAGAGCTTTTTATCTATAATCAAACAGTATATAGTGAAATCTTTTTTGAAAAATCCTGTCATTATCAATACAAACTGGTTCTATTAATGTTCAATGCTAAGCCTGTTTCTGTGTACTCACTGTTGTTCTATTAATGTTCAATGCTAAATCTGTTTCTGTGTACTCACTGTTGTTCTATTAATGTTCAATGCTAAGCCTGTTTCTGTGTACTCACTGTTGTTCTATTAATGTTCAATGCTAAATCTGTTTCTGTGTACTCACTGTTGTTCTATTAATGTTCAATGCTAAGCCTGTTTCTGTGTACTCACTGTTGTTCTATTAATGTTCAATGCTAAGCCTGTTTCTGTGTACTCACTGTTGTTCTCTATACATACTTCATGGTAGCCATGGTCATACTGTTTCATGAAGAGCATTAATGTTCAATGCTAAGCCTGTTTCTGTGTACTCACTGTTGTTCTATTAATGTTCAATGCTAAGCCTGTTTCTGTGTACTCACTGTTGTTCTATTAATGTTCAATGCTAAGCCTGTTTCTGTGTACTCACTGTTGTTCTATTAATGTTCAATGCTAAGCCTGTTTCTGTGTACTCACCGAGATGTTAGATCCAGTGTCTTTGTTTATCCGATACATGTGTTTGTGGAACTCAGGTCCATGTCCATCATGGTCCTAAAGAAGAAGATTTTGTTTAGCTTAAATGTAAACAATGGAAAATCTGCTTCCAAGGTCACAAGGACCAAATATGTTCAAACATCTATACATACTTCTTAATGGTAGCCATGGTCATACTGTTTCATGAAGAGCAGGTATATATATGTTTTAATTTTATTAAACACTACAAGCTAATTGGGCCTTTCTGTAACATAATGACCTCTTGAACCTTGTAACTGTGCCAAGGTCATACACTGAAAGAAAATAAAGGATATTAAGTTTTGGATCCACATTAACTGATTCATGTCATAATTTTCTTGTCATAAACTGCATATTAAAATATAATTGAAGTTCTTATAACAAAACTAGTAGAAGATTTGAGTGTGATATTTGGATAACCATATGGTAACCATCATCACACAAATGACCAGTGTGAATTGTGTTATCACTGACATTCATATCATACAAGACGGCAAGGCATCTACCATCTTTTTGGGCTGTACTATAATCCTATTTACACTAAGGTCGAAAGAAAATAAAATAACATTTTTCTAAGATCCTAATTAAATGAATTTTACATATTCATTTCTAAGAAATTAGATAAGTAATAGGTAACTGTTACAGGCACATTTGATCTCTTGTTTTTGTTAGATGCTTAGATGAATAAATAAACTGTAACCTACCTTATTGTTGTCTGTCACAAACAGATAAGCATGGATCATCTCATGCTGTAAATATAGAAGTCAAACATGAACAATCTATTGTTGTACATAACTCATGTATAGTTACTGACTTCTGATGATGTGGATGCAAAAACTTGTGAACCTTAAATAGATTATCCTCAGAAAGCTATGGTGAGAGGTTGTCACATGTGTGGCAAAATATTACAGTACAAGTTTATCATAATTTTCCATCATTTTCTTTAGTAATTATATCACTTGAAGGCTAATGAATTATAAGGATGAAAATTCTTTACATGTTTTCAGATTACCTGTTAACATAAATAATTACAAGAATAGTCAAGAAATTCTTACTGCTAACAAAAGGTCTAGATTTAAAATCAAATTCCATGTCCAGTCAATGATTGGTAGAAAATATACTCTTTAATCAACCAACAGTAATTTCCTAACATAAGAAACTTTGCATGAGTGCCAAAGTATCAACATTATTGAAAGGTGATCTATTTTTATCTATAACTCCAAACTTTTTCTGAAGCAATATAATGTTCTTACCAAAAGAGTTTCCACTAAGTCTTTCCTTGGTCGAAGTTTCAGTAGAGGCACACTCAAACGTACTGAACAAAGGCCTCCTCGGCCCTCATAGCAGCACAGCCCAGCACATCTGCAAATATATTAACACAAAGCTAAAGGTTCACAATCTTGTTTATATTAACACAAAGCTAAAGGTTCACAATCTTGTTTATATTAACACAAAGCTAAAGGTTCACAATCTTGTTTATACCAACACAAAGCTAAAGGTTCACAATCTTGTTTATACCAACACAAAGCTAAGGTTCACAATCTTGTTTATATTAACACAAAGCTAAAGGTTCACAATCTTGTTTATACCAACACAAAGCTAAAGGTTCACAATCTTGTTTATACCAACACAAAGCTAAAGGTTCACAATCTTGTTTATATTAACACAAAGCTAAGGTTCACAATCTTGTTTATATTAACACAAAGCTAAAGGTTCACAATCTTGTTTATATTAACACAAAGCTAAAGGTTCACAATCTTGTTTATACCAACACAAAGCTAAAGGTTCACAATCTTGTTTATATTTGTTTATATTAACACAAAGCTAAAGGTTCACAATCTTGTTTATACCAACACAAAGCTAAAGGTTCACAATCTTAACACAAAGTAAAGGTTATATTAACACAAAGCTAAAGGTTCACAATCTTGTTTATATTAACACAAAGCTAAAGGTTCACAATCTTGTTTATACCAACACAAAGCTAAAGGTTCACAATCTTGTTTATACCAACACAAAGCTAAAGGTTCACAATCTTGTTTATACCAACACAAAGCTAAAGGTTAACACACAATCTTGTTTATACCAACACAAAGCTAAAGGTTCACAATCTTGTTTATACCAACACAAAGCTAAGGTTCACAATCTTGTTTATACCAACACAAAGCTTATCTTGTTTATACCAACACAAAGCTAAGGTTCACAATCTTGTTTATACCAACACAAAGCTAAGGTTCACAATCTTGTTTATACCAACACAAAGCTAAGGTTCACAATCTTGTTTATACCAACACAAAGCTTGTTTATACCAACACAAAAAGGTTCACAATCTTGTTTATTTATACCAACACACAAAGCTAAAGGTTCACAATCTTGTTTATATTAACACAAAGCTAAAGGTTCACAATCTTGTTTATATTAACACAAAGCTAAAGGTTCACAATCTTGTTTATACCAACACAAAGCTAAAGGTTCACAATCTTGTTTATACCAACACAAAGCTAAAGGTTCACAATCTTGTTTATACCAACACAAAGCTAAAGGTTCACAATCTTGTTTATACCAACACAAAGCTAAAGGTTCACAATCTTGTTTATATCAACACAAAGCTAAAGGTTCACAATCTTGTTTATATTAACACAAAGCTAAAGGTTCACAATCTTGTTTATACCAACACAAAGCTAAAGGTTCACAATCTTGTTTATACCAACACAAAGCTAAAGGTTCACAATCTTGTTTATACCAACACAAAGCTAAAGGTTCACAATCTTGTTTATATCAACACAAAGCTAAAGGTTCACAATCTTGTTTATATCAACACAAAGCTAAAGGTTCACAATCTTGTTTATATCAACACAAAGCTAAAGGTTCACAATCTTGTTTATACCAACACAAAGCTAAGGTTCACAATCTTGTTTATATCAACACAAAGCTTAAGGTTCACAATCTTGTTTATACCAACACAAAGCTAAGGTTCACAATCTTGTTTATATTAACACAAAGCTAAGGTTCGCAATCTTGTTTATATCAACACAAAGCTAAGGTTCACAATCTTGTTTATATCAACACAAAGCTAAGGTTCGCAATCTTGTTTAACATGGCGAGTTAATTGTGTAAAACACTTCCCTCACTCCTAAGATCCTACATTTAAGAAGTTTTAAAGTTTCTCTGTGTCAGTCTATAATTATGTAACAGTGGAATAATGACTGGAACCAAGGACCTTGTAACTCTAGTCAGACACTTAAAATAACCTGGTACTTGGCTGCTGGTAATTTACCTAATTCAACAAAATTCACAAAGGAAAAACAACAATATCATCTATATTTGACCTGGTGAAATATTTGGCCACAATCTAAATTACTTGATAACACCACAATTCTATTGATATTAATCATACAGTTTACCTGTCAAACATTACATCATTCCATTTTTAGGAGATTTATAAATAAGTTTCATGTCTTATTACAATATTTATCCAGCAATTAGCCCATATCTGATAATGAGCCCATCCATTTATGCATCAAACAAATGCTATTTCATTGTCCTTGTAAACATCCTCAATACTCCAGGGTTTACAATCTCTGCACCCCTGGAATATGTCATAGCAAAATTGAAGGCACAAGGGATACAATTTGTTTGGTCCCAGTCACAGTCCAACTTCAACCCCATTACAATATACTGTTATGTGACCCGAGATTTGTTTGATGTACTTATATCAAACAAGTCTTGTCCACAAGGTGTCACACATGGAAACTTCCATTTTGCCATGACATGTTCAATGAGTGTAAAGAGTGTTAGTGAGCTTAGCCCCTGGAGTATTGAAGATGGTTCCAGGGGTACAGAGAGTAAACATAACCCCTGGAGTATTGAGGATGTCCTGTAATAAGCCCAGCCCCAAACTTTGATCACTAGGATTTTGTATATTGATTTCATTGTGCTTAATACAGGATAAATATCAAGGCCCAAGAAAGGAACATACAATGTCATTCTTGGACTCCAGCGAACTTCAATTCCTGCCAGTCTACCCCAGAAAAACTGATCGTTGAACTGGAGAAATAGTGCCCTGATGTCCGGAATTGGGTCAAGGTATTCCCAGCTGGGGTCAACAGGAGAAAGTTTGGAATGGTCATGGTCAGCTGGCTTTATCAAAGCAACTGCTGGAGACTCCTCATCAAATTCATTCTGAAGTTGTAGTGCTAAGGCGAGGTCTTCATCGGTATCCATGCTAATCAGAAGAACAATAAAACATTAGACAAGAGGCCCGTAGGACCTGTACCATTCACCTTGTTTAAGCAGACTCATTGTCAAATTAATGGTTATATTCTGTTCAAACCCCAAATTACACCTCTCATGATACAAAATGGTTCTTTGTCTGTCATATATAATACACTTTGATTGTGATATTCAAGAGCCCTCCTTAACCCTTTTATCGGAACAGCAGAGGTAGGATTTCAAAGACAGGTATCACCATTATGTTTACTCACATGACCTGACAATTCTACTCATCCGAGTCTAGTTTAGTGATGGCGCCAGATGGACCCTGGGCTACTCATGACAGGAGAGGCGTACATGTAAGTAATGGACAATCTCTGTTCACAGATCAAGTCTCTTGCTATCAACACAGCATGAGACGCATGCCTTTCATCATACTGGATTCGTACAGTAGTAGTGTTATGAGACCTGCAGCTGAGCTGACCACCCTGTCAGTTATGTAATATTTCCCTGCTTGGAATGGGATTCCTTTCAAATATCTAGGTTAGATCTTAGGTGAAAACAAAAAAAATTGTCAGAATTCGCGACAGAAAGCATGTAGGTATTTAAACAAGACACTTGATGAGTTACATGTAACTTTAAGATGCACACATTGACGGTACCTCAAGTTTGTGCCATGCTGAAGTAAAACAAATTCAATTTTTATGATAAAACTAGAGATATCCCAAACGTCAATGTTATTTTTCCATATTTTCTTACCTACATATCTATATGTTCCGAACGACGAAAATCTCGTCATAGCCGCGTTCTGGTAACCGGAAGCTCATGAATATAAGGAATGTCAATGCAGTCGACAGGGATGTGATTACTGACAGCGATCTTATATCGTGTTCACGGACGTAACTTGCACCACATAGAGTTTATAAGTAAGTGAAGCAATTGGTAAGAAACGTAGAAATATCCCTTTCTGTGTAAAATATTCTTAAGATCAGCGATTTCTATCGTTTCGCAAAATGAAGGTGGTTACCATGGCATGCGAACGATAACTGCACCGTACTGGAGTCGAGACATGTTTCAGGCTTGAGACTATCGATGCATTTTTGCTCACCATTGAAAACAATGCATCTGATGTGCAGAGTGGTAGAAATTTTGGGGACATTTCATTGGACTCATCATTTTTTTGTTATTGATACTTCTTTAAGTCTTTATCAATTTTTCAAAACATTACATACAGGCATTTTTAATTAGCCAATGAGAATATATGTCAGCTGCCAGGTTATCAAAATAAATGCTCTAAAAAGTGAATCTTCATTTTTTTTTCACTTTGCCATATAGTTGTGTGAAAATGCATTCACCGTGTTTGAAAATGTCAAATAAAACATAAATCAAGAATCTGCAGAATAAGAACACATTATTTCAAAGAGAAGTAACACATTTTCTGTCTGTAAGTTAGATGTTTTCACTTTTATCATGCTAGGGGATTAAATATCCATTGATTAATTTTGATACCCATGAGTCAGGTATGTCTTATCAAAGGTTTTTTTAAATTTTTGTTTAGTTATTTTCATTCACTTTGTAGCCAACAAGCCATCAGACATATGTTATGTTAAAAAATGTTTACCACAACATGTCAACTCAGTTACTACTGCATTTTATCTATCAGTGAAATATGTTATAAACATTTTGTCATTGGAATACAGTATTTCTCCAACATGTATTTTCATAATCCATTTGCAAATAATCGTAAAAATCTTTGTCAGTATTAGCAATGTTGGTGTAATATACCATATCATTTTGTTTTTGTAATATGTATGAATTGTCCAACATCTGAATGGTTGACACAGTTACTAGGTAAACACAATCATGATTGATTAAACACTACCGGTAATAAGCAACAATTATCATGTAAATAGATAATCACTTATTTTGAAATGTTTTGCATGTTTTTAAAAGATCAGACCAAAAGCAATTTTCTATGCAAAGCATTCTTCCATTTGTGTCCTATTTTCTGGGGGTCAATAGCATTTTCCTTCTATTTGGACTTGTATCTATATATTCATCCTGAAAAAATAAATACGATGAATTGTAAACATTTTTTGGTAGCAATAAATTTTCCTCTCCTATTCACGTGTATATAAACAACAATATTATGTATAAGTATTAAAAGAATGTTGATTAAGATGTATAAAATGTAGATTTCTATTGTAATGTGTAACAGTTCATGCAAAATAAACCATTTTATTTCTTCCTCACATTTACATACACAGTATCATGAAGCATCTACTACAGTTACTATAACAGTAGTAATTGCAGTCTGTAGAACAGAAAATAGATTAAAGTGACTTCAGAATTTTACTCATGTTCAAAAGTATCAGATTTTTTATTTCTGTCATTTGCTTAAAGGACCCTACTTTTTGTATACATGACTTTTCATTCAACATTTTAGACAGTGTTTTGGTCTTTCCAAAATCAGTTTTGACTCCTGATCATGAGTTTGAAGAGACATACAAGTTTCAGATATATATATACACGTTTTGGCATTTAACCATTGCAGGATAAGGTGATTAAGATTCTGGAATTGCTAAATGCCAAGGGCAAGCTTGCATGCAAGTGCAGTCACTTGCATTACGTGTGAATATTTTTTCCTGGAATGAGAAGGAATACACTGTAATTGTTGATTACCCAATACCTACTGTAGTCAACTTCTCATTGCGTTTGGCTGCTTCTGTTGTTGGAATATGCATACAAACAGTGTAAGGGAAGATTTAGATAAGATCAGCAGTTTGATATATCAGAGGTAGGAAATTTTCCTTTAAAGGGTAACTAGCCTCTGTCTGGCCAGCAAGAAGTGAAGAGACATTGCAAATCTATAATCAGTTATCAGGTATAATTGCACACTTTCTTTTGTAGTTCATCAGTGATATAATCATGTGTTCAGATTTCATCCAACATTAAATTTTTCTTTACAACTGTCAGTATGCCAGTTATGTTTTACTTTAAATTTCAGTAACTTAACATTTATTTTTAAAAATCCATCATCTTTCTAAAATTTGTATAAGGATAAAATGTGATGCATTTTTTCATCCACTGTATATTAATAGAATATTGTAATGACATTTACAAAGAATAAACATTAACCAAATAAATGATTTATCATTAAAACAAAGGTAAAATGAAAGAACAATGGAGATCACTTGGCTCTAGGAATGTTTGTTCAGGGACAAACCCTCTCATGTTGTTGAAAACCGTGCTAGTGTATCCATCAGTATACGAGTCCCAGTTGGTTTTGTGGTCCTCAGTTTAGGTATATATATTGTAGGAGTTCCTATGTGATGGTAAATATTTGAGTCTGAATTATTTTGAGATATAGCAGTTGGTTTTGTTAATAGGAATCTTCCTTCAGCAGAGAAACAAGGAATGCAGAAGTTATTGATCAATGCTATTTCTTAATATTGATATTATTTTGTGAACACTTAAGCTTATCTAGTTTATGTATATATTTGTGATAACAGTACACAGAGGTGATATCAAACCAAGAAGTAGGTTCACATAAAAATAATTATTGAATAATAAAACAGTTGCACTATTGAGGAAAGTACCAGCAGCAGCAGCAGCTTGTCTATAACTGAAATATAAAACTATGTCTTATCATACATACTAGAATATTTCTGTCAGTGTTGACATCACACTGCCTGTGTCAGTGATGGTGTCGTACTGTCTGTCAGTGTTGACATCATACTGTCTGTGTCAGTGATGGTGTCGTACTGTCTGTCAGTGTTGACATCATACTGTCTGTGTCAGTGTTGACATCATACTGTCTGTGTCAGTGTTGACATCATATTTTCTGTGTCAGAGTTGACATCACACTGTCTGTCAGTGTTGACATGATACTGTCTGTCAGTGATGACATGATACTGTCTTTGTAAGTGTTGACAACATACTGTCTGTGTCAGTGTTGATATCATACTGTCTGTGTAAGTGTTAACATCATACTGTCTGTCAGTGTTGACATCATACTGTCTTTGTAAGTGTTGACATCATACTGTCTGTAAGTGTTGACATCATACTGTCTGTGTCAGTATTGATATCATACTGTCTGTGTCAGAGTTGACATCACACTGTCTGTGTCAGAGTTGACATGATACTGTCTTTGTCAGTGTTGATATCATACTGTCTGTGTCAGAGTTGATGTCATACTGTCTGTGTCAGAGTTGATGTCATACTGTCTGTGTCAGTTTTGACATCATACTGTCTTTGTCAGTGTTTATATCATACTGTCTGTGTCAGAGTTGACATCATACTGTCTGTGTCAGTGTTGATATCATACTGTCTGTGTCAGAGTTGACATCACACTGTCTGTCAGTGTTGACATGATACTGTCTGTCAGTGATGACATGATACTGTCTTTGTAAGTGTTGACAACATACTGTCTGTCAGTGTTGATATCATACTGTCTTTGTCAGTGTTGACATCATACTGTCTTTGTCAGTGTTGATATCATACTGTCTGTGACAGTATTGACATCATATTTTCTGTGTCAGTGTTAACATCATACTTTCTGTATCAGAGTTGACATCACACTGTCTGTGTCAGTGTTGACATGATACTCTCTGTCAGTGGTGACATGATACTGTCTGTGTCAGTGTTGATATCATACTGTCTGTGTAAGTGTTAACATCATACTGTCTGTCAGTGTTGACATCATACTGTCTTTGTAAGTGTTGACGTCATACTGTCTGTAAGTGTTGACATCATACTGTCTGTGTCAGTATTGATATCATACTGTCTGTGTCAGAGTTGACATCACACTGTCTGTGTCAGAGTTGACATGATACTGTCTTTGTCAGTGTTGATATCATACTGTCTGTGTCAGAGTTGATGTCATTCTGTCTGTGTCAGAGTTGATGTCATACTGTCTGTGTCAGTTTTGACATCATACTGTCTTTGTCAGTGTTGACATGATACTGTCTGTCAGTGATGACATGATACTGTCTTTGTAAGTGTTGACAACATACTGTCTGTCAGTGTTGATATCATACTGTCTGTGTCAGTGTTGACATCATACTGTCTTTGTCAGTGTTGATATCATACTGTCTGTGACAGTATTGACATCATATTTTCTGTGTCAGTGTTAACATCATACTTTCTGTATCAGAGTTGACATCACACTGTCTGTGTCAGTGTTGACATGATACTCTCTGTCAGTGATGACATGATACTGTCTGTAAGTGTTGATATCATACTGTCTGTGTCAGTATTGACATCATATTTTATGTGTCAGAGTTGACATCATACTGTCTGTGTCAGAGTTGATGTCATACTGTCTGTCAGTGTTGACATTATACTGTCTGTGTCAGTTTTGACATCATACTGTCTTTGTCAGTGTTCATATCATACTGTCTGTCAGAGTTGACGTAATACTGTCTGTGTCAGTGTTGACATAATACTGTCTGTGTCAGTGTTGACATCATACTGTCAGTGTCAAAGATGACATTGATATGTAATCTGTGTCACAGTGGATATACTGTCTGTGTCAGTGTTGGCATTATACTGTCTGTGTCAGTGTTGACATCATACTGTCTTTGTAAGTGTTGACATCATACTGTCTTTGTCAGTGTTGACATCATACTGTGTCAGTGTTGACATTGACATGTAACCTGTGTCAGAGTTGACATCATTCTGTCTATGTCAGTGTTGACATCATACTGTCAGTGTCAAAGATGACATTGATATGTAATCTGTGTCAGAGTTGACATACTGTCTGTGTCAGTGTTGACATTATAATGTCTATGTCAGTGTTGACATTATACTGTCTGTGTCAGAGATGACATTATACTGTCTGTGTCAGTGTTGACATCATACTGTTTTTGTCAGTGTTGACATCATACTGTCTGTGTCAATGTTGACATCATACTGTCTGTCAATG